ATGGTCTTCGCTATGGTTTAGTAAGAAGTTTATAGAAGTTAAATTTGACTTTTTTTTTTTTTGGATTATTGTATTATCTAAACTAAATAATTTAAGGAATAACAATTACTGGAACTCATTGATGAAGAATTGGAGAATGAGCAAGTAGATAACGAAAGAGATGATAATGAAAGGGTAGATAATGATGAAAGAGTGAATTACGATAAAATAGTAAATAACAATGAAAGAGTAAATGATGATGAAATGGTGAATAACAATGAAAGAGTGGATTATGATAAAAGAGTAGATGAAAATGAAATGGTGGATGATGATGAAAGGGTGGACAACGATGAAAGGGTGCACAATGATAAAAGTATAAATGATGAAAAAGTTGATAATGAAAGAGTAGATGACGATGAACGTGTGGATATTGAAAGAGTAAATTATAGAAGTATGTATAATGAAAGAGTAAACGATGAAAGGGTTAACAATAAAAAGATGAACAGCAAAAAGATAAATAACAAAAGGGTGGATGATAATAATGATAAGAGGATAAATGGTAAAAAGGTAGATAATAAAGGTATAAATGATAAAAAGATAGATGCAAGTGAAAATGATGACGAGATAGTGCACAAAAGAGTGAATGAAAGAACAAAGAAAACAATAAGGGTATGTATTAGTGTTATATTATCGTAAAAAAAAACAAAATAATAATAATAAAATTTTATAAAATAGATAAAATTACCTAAGGAAAATAATAATCACAAAATTCGACCAACTAAAAGGCTAAAATTGTCTACTACTGATATTCGGGTAATTAAGCAATTAAGCATCATTTTAGTGAATTAAAATTTTAAGAATTAATTAATATTTATTACATTTATTCTGTCTTTAGTCTTCTTTAGATAAACACCCATAATCCACTCTTCGAGACAAGACCAATGTTTAACAAACATCAGCACATCAACTTTATCGAAGTATAGCTACAAAGTTACTTGAACAATATTACGATAATATAAAATTGCAGCTCAATAAATGTAATAAAGGATTATTTAATAAGTATGATGTTAGAAATTTGGTGCACCTCAAAATTCCTGAAATTGATAGAACTCATAGTGACTAGAAAATACTTCCTTGCAAGATTTTTGAGGTTTTAGAGGACGATATATATAGAATTGGATGTAAGTTGGGCATTATCAAAGTTACATATAGCACAAATGAATTACTTCCATTAGGTTCAGATAATTTTCCAGAATTAGATAATATTCTTTCAACTTTTATTGGTGTTCGGAAAGCATCTATCGTGCAATCATCATCACAAGTAGGCAACGTAAAATGCAACTGCAAAAATACTTGTAAAAAAAATCACTGTAAATGCAAAAAAAT